GGTTGGGGTAGACTTCGTCGGGAAACCGAGCGGCGACCGCCATGGCTTTCGCACCGTATAGTCGTTCGGGGAACTGAGCAGCCTTGGGGCCACTGTTGAGTGGCTTGAATGCAACTGCAGAGGTTTCTTTACGCCGGGAATCTTTCGTCAGGACAATTTCGAGGGGAGTGCCCGGCTTCAGCAGGGCGGCTTTGATGTATTGGGTTCCAAGGTCAATACCAAGGACGGCGGCCGACGCAAAGACATTGGCAGAGAAGAAGATGACAGCTCCGAGGAGCATCATCAGAGGCGATGGCCGCGAATTCGCCATGGTGGGTGGTTCGGGACGTGCTATCGGTCAATGGAGCATCAAGACGTGTGCGATGATGTGACTTTGTACTGGACAAGGAAAGAAAATGCACGAAGATGCGCTGGGTGTATAAATACCCAAAGGAAGATGACGAAACAAAAATAAAACTGAACAAGAGTTCAAGGAGAGAGGAGGAGCCAAGGTTTAGGCGCCCGCTAGCTCTGTGCAGCTGGTTTGAAGAGGTTGATGTGGCCTCTCTGTGTCATGTTAGTCGGAGCAGAGGCTTGTTCGTCACTCGTGGGCCAAGAGGCCAAGAGGACAAGTTGCACCGGATGGCAGCCATCAGCCCAGCCCGCCCATGCATTTGCGGGTTAGTTCAGAGGCTGCCCACGCCAAGGCTGACTGACATGACCGACCATCGCACCTACCTAGGTAGTTTCCAAAGTAACGTTTTATAGCCAAACTTTGCGCACTTTTTACTTTTATATTATTCTGTATGCTCAAACTATGATAAAATACGTGTTTGTTTTTCGGGGCGTGATTCACGCCCGCGTGGGTCACTGGCATTACGTGTATTTTATTCCACGCTTCAAGTGGCAGAGGCCGTCTCTAGATAGCTTTTGCCAGCGCGTGAGGTCATGAATCACCTTTTAAGCTAATACGTTTAACGTATTATAACGCGTTTAGTATTTTTTTTTATATTATGCGTTATTATTATTAGAGCTAAGCATAGCTTATTAATTATGTTATTAATAGGTTCATGTGATTATTTAGCCTTTTTTTATTTTTATTTTTATAATAATTTAATAAGTGGTTTTCATCTTTTCTTTTATAAAATTATCGTCAATTACTGCAGACTCCAGAGTGCTCTACGGTCTGCGTGGGTCCACCCGTCGGTTGCGGGTATGTGAAGCTTCATCACAGGCACACAATCAGTTGGCTCCAAATATAACCAAGCAGGCGGATAGCAGTCATTACGCCATCATTATGGACGTCGTATAATATTCCCATACAAACACATTTGTTTTCTGTTGATACAAGCCCTGCCAACCCTTCCTCCTTGCCTTTCCTCCACATTTGAAGTCATCAACCGGAGGCTAAACGCCCACTCCAGATCACCATTCCTCCAGAATGCAACCTAAAGGGCCAAATCACTCAGAATGATCAGTGCGATGCGATGCGATGCGATGCAATGCAAAAGCAATTCCCAAAGCCCACTGTATTGTTTCCCCCAAACCGGCCAAAAATCTGCTAAACGCCGCCATGACATGATGTACAGTTCATTTCTTGTGAGAGCTGCCGTAAAGCACGCTCATTATGGTTCGAATTAACTTCGCTGGGATGTTGGCCTAGGACTCTTCGTTTCGTCGGGGGCGAGAGGACATCCCACCACGACCTCGACCACGTCCACGGCCTTCGCCGCGGTGACCGCCACGGCCACGGTGCTCACCACGATGACCACCTCGACCGCGCAAGTTGCCATTTCCTTCGCGCTCGTGACGGCCCTTGTTACGCTGGACCTGATGAAATCCATCATTACCATCAGACTATAGCAGGCGTTAGATGTTTCTATTCTACCAGGCATGCAGCTTTCAAAGTTTGCTTTCACTTACAGGCTTAGTAGGCTCGGGCTGCTCGTCCGCCCAAGACTGGGTATTTCCAGATGAGGCTGGCGTGTCAGTCAGGCCAGTATCAGTCTCGGTAATGTCTCGTGAGGCCTTCACATCTACCCACTCCTGCGAGGTGGAGAGACCGGCCTCAGTATCCCAGTGACTCTCAGCCACAGCGTTGGCGGCAGTGTTGGATATATTGGCACTAGGGTGACCATTGCTCGCCTCAGCCTTCTTCTCCCCAGGAGAAGCAGAGACATCAGTATCTGCGACCTCGATGGCTGCGACGTTTGCCACAGTAGGGTCAGTAACCACCTCAGCAGTCTCTCCTTCGGCTGGTACCTCACTGTAGACCGGGGCCTTGTATTCCTGAGCTAGTGTCTTGACAACGGAGTCTAGATTGTGTTAGTACATAGTATTGCTCTAAACAGGGAGAGCGGCAGTCATTGGCAGGGGTCTTTACAAGTAGTCTGCAATTGCTCTCCTGGCACGCTGAGAACCTTGTCTTCAGTACCCTCCACGAGCTTCAACATTGATGCAACGGCAGAGTCGTCTCCGGCATAGATTGCCAGGAGAACACCTTCGATAGCTTGGCTTTCGTCCGACTCGGCATCGGTAGCTTCCTCACGGCGGTAGGCAGCGAGGCGCAAGAACTGCGATAGGAGAAGAAGGTTACCCTTCAAGGAATTTTGGAAGCTCGCCTCGGCTTCGCTGACAGCGTCAGCCTTGGCCTTCTCCAACGTTTTCTCCCACTCAGCCTTTTCGTTTGCGGCTCGTGAACGGTATTGCTCATGGACCTTTCGGAGCTGCGCGAGCTGCTCCTCGGCCTGGGCAAGCTGGGCCTGGAGCTCGGGTTTTTTCTCAATCTGTGCCCTTTGATCTGGGTTTATGGTCTTTTCGTTGACCAATTGCTCAAGTGTTTTGCCAGCGTGCCGTTCCTGGCTCAAAAGGGCATCTGTCTTTGAGGCATTGGTCTGGCAGAGGGCGCGTCAGTTTTTCGAAGTGGGTGGATGGGTGGCCCAGCTGAAGGCAAGGTCGCGGAGCAAAATGTGTACAGTACAACAGAGTGCTTCAACTTACAATTTTCTTGTTGAGATTACGAATGCTCCTGTGAGATTAACTATTAGCATTGCAGCTTCCAACCCATCTCTTTCGAAGAGAGCCTTACTTTTGCAGCTTCATGATGTCGGAACTCTCGAAATCCTCGTCCAACAAATCGGCAGCGGCACGGGATCCAATGCTGGAAGCGGGCGACTCAGCACGCTTGGCAGCACCAGTGGTCTTCTTCTTGGACCCCCTGGGGGCGGGTTGAGTTGCAGCTGCAGGCATTGCTAACAAGTTTTGTGCGCTGCGAGGATGTTTTTTTTTGGAGGGAGGGGGATCGTCAGGTTGTCGCAAGGAAGCTCCAGATGGCTTGGTGGATAACGATGCTCGAGCTTTCAATATCTCTACTATGCTCGATGCCGAACGTCTAGCTGGATGTTTGAAAGCGGAAAGGATGCCGTGTGACAAGAGAGAGGCGATTGAGAGACAAGAATGATAAATCGGGTTCGGCTGATCAGGCAACGAGCAGGAGGAAGAGGAAGAGTCGGGGTCGACGGTGTGATCCAACGGGTGTGGAGGTTGGTCTGTTCACGTCAACTGGGCTGGCGGCTTGTTTGGAGCCTGATTGATCATTGATGCTGCGGGACCACAAACGCCGCCCCCTGTGCAGCGCTGGGTCGCCTGGGGTGCGAAGCTCTTCATGACATGGAGCTGTCCAGTGCTCCGTGTTCGGTTCTAGAACCAGAGAGAACCGCACCGTCGACATCAGTCTGTCTGTGAGCCACTGCCCAATGCCCATGTTGAAACTGTGGTATGGCGGCGCAATTGCAGTCTGTTGGAGAAAGACGGCACAAGCGCAATTAGCCTTGTCATTACTATTCAGATTTACGACTGGTTCATCTGTTTGCACTCGGGAAGAGCCGTTGTTTGCCATTATGCATGGTCTCGTGCCTATCCTTACTTATCCTTGGCCCCTCATCCAGCCCAGCTCCATCCCCTCCGTTCGGCGCCGAAGAGCCGCCACTGCCAACGCCAACACAGTAGGCCACCTTCGGACATCAGACAGGTTGCGATATGGATACAATGGTCTCAAAGCATCCGGTACTCTGTTGTCTGCCATGTATCATGTGCCAGTGTCAGGTGTGACACCCTGGCGTGACAAATGTCCATGTTTATTTTCCGCCGATTCCATCTCGTAAGGTAAGACAAAGCTGTTTGCTTGGTCTGTTGCTTGACTTCGTCCTTTTGCTATGCCCTACCAGATTGAACCATGGAAGCAATAATTCACGCAGGAATCTCCTACGATGTTCTCAGCCCTTGAACTTGGCCAGTGTATCCTGCATCATGGTTAGCCATGCGGGAGGTTGTCCATGTGGGCTGAACAAATTATGAACGTACTCTGGTCACCTTGTTTACACTCCTTGCCGTCAAGCCGCGCTCGCCTGACTGCTTGGCGTAGATGGCTGCTTCTTTGACGAGTCTATCAACTCAGTTAGTTGCAGCAGCACAGACAAAAGGCCGGCAGTACACACGTTTCCATGAAGAGGACGTAGTTTAAGAATATCTATATTCGCTTAGTAACACAGATGGAATCGTCCCGAAACGCCTTACTCACCGTGACGTCTGCGTTTTTCTTGACACTCATGTTTGAGTGCGCCTTTATGATCTTCTTAACGGTCGCCCGCGGATATGCTTTCTTACCGAGTGCCATGGTTGAGGCTTTTATTGAACGCGATGCCCCGATCCAAATGTGTTGTGAGAGCTGCCTTTCAACCACGCACTGCGCGTCTGTGTTGACAGAGCTGCGCCAAGTCGTACAAGCAAGGCAGGCATGTGTGGGGCAGCCAATCGGCAAGAGTGATGGAACTGTGTGAATTCCGGGCGGGGCTGCCAAGCCACACAGTACCCCCACCACAAGACTGAACATCAGGAAAGGCGCTCGTAACAAACGACGGTTTCCATACAGCTTCGGGGTGCCAACGTTGCGCCAATATTCAGTTGAAACCGAGAGACTGTCCACGAGCTAGTATTCCGTATTGTATACGATGGCTTCAATAATGCAGAGGCGTATGGTACGGTTGAATTTCTAATATCGTCATTTGTGGTTCCGCTTCATGAGACGATCGTGCGCGACTGACCGACATGCCCAGCTCTCCAAGGAGGACGAGCAGGCAGGCGACGAAGTCGAGGTCCGCAGAGAAGACCAGGATAAGATCAACAAGTTTAGCCGGCTGCATCAGAGGGAACTGGCCATGGAGGAGGAACTCAGGTTGAAGAATGTGAGGACCCTTGGCAGAGAGCCGACCCCATCTGCCCACCTGTCCAGCGGCGAGACACTCACTGACTGGGCAATGTCTAGAAAGAGAAAGAGGAATATGATGACCTGTCGACCGAGTTGGAGCTAGCGGATGAAGATGAAAAGATTCAGTATGCCAATCTCCGTATCGCATCCGCCCCTTTCACGCGCTTATGGACCAATGTCCCTGCAGGTACAAGATCGGCGATGCATTCTTTCACATTCCACTTGATCAAGCCCAAGAGATGTTGGAAGCGGCTACGACGAAAATTGACGAAGAGACGAGCGAACTAGAAGACAAGATCGGCTCGGTACGCGAGGAGATGCAGCAACTCAAAGTCGAATTGTACGCCAGATTCGGAAAGCAAATCAACCTCGAAGTATAAGCATTTTTTTTTTAAATAAACACCAAAGGAAGGAAAACATTGTATCAAAAATATTCTAAAATCAAGATGGCACACTTCACCGGAGAAATGCTGGTTGATCATTCTAAACATGCACGTGTGTACCCACTCGCCCATCGGCTAGACGAAGATTTGCATTTCTTCCTTCTGACACCGAGATTCGAGACCTGCGTGTCACGATTGGCAGCTATGGATGGACTGCTGGGTTGAACCCAATGGATGGGGCCAGTTTGATGACTCACTCGTTGACACTGTGTGTCCATGGGAGTCGAGCGTCATGATGGTTGAGGATGACCATGTGCTGGGCTTATCATTGATGACTTCTAGTCCTCGGCTGACCTCGTCTCCCAACAGGTCTGGCATTTTCCCAGTTTTGTGTACCATTGGAGGATGCGAGGATATGGATTAAGCCCCAACCTGTTTCAAGGAGTACCAAGGCATGGAAGGCATGGTGGCTGCATTCTATCCTGGCTATGTCTTATATTTTTTGTGTAACTTCGGCGCCTATGCCAAGGCCATGCAGGTCAGCGGAAGCCTGAAGACCTGTGAAGGGCCCAACCAGCCATTCTGACCGAAGACAACATCGTTCTCCGTAGAAAGGAGATTAAGCCAATTCTCGGTGTGTTGCTCACTTATACCCAGTTTGGGGACGAGACATGTGAGCAGGGCGATGATCCTAGTTCCAAGACATCTCACATTATGGCACGAAGCTATCGAGAGTGATCATCTCCCGCCGTTCTAAGCTATGTTAGTACTAAGTAGGCTATGGTTTGTGTTACCCTGTTCTGTTATATCCCATCTTTCCCCCCGTTCCCGCGAGCATCTTCATCTTCTACTCCTATGACAAGCCAGTGTCGTTTCCAAGAATTGTAGATGAGATTTCTCCAGGCTGCGGCAATGCTTGAAGAAATCCATTTTTCCTGACCTATACACGCGGCAACCACTCCTCATGTAGCATCATGTCTACAAGCAATTATAATGACACGCTGTCTGGTAACCTTATCCCGGCGAATGGTATGCATTATTCCCTTTTCTACAGTATTAAGGACTAGGTTAATCTTACTCGACTATAGCAGTAATGAACCTGGAATTGCTTAGGACTGGCAGCGGAAGCGACCCCCAAGATGTTGAACCACAACAACAAAATGACCGCAACAGCGTGATCCAAGACCTGAGCTCACCTGATGCTATTCAACGGACAGGCAGAAGCGACCAGAGCTATACTGTCATCGGTTGGGATGTCAATGACCCGGAGAATCCTCACAACTGGTCGTTTGTAAAAGAAACCCGTATCTATTCATGTCACCGATGCCAATCTAACATGACCATAGTTCAAAAAGACCTACATTCTCACGGTAACATGCATGCTCGTCACCAATTCAACCATGGGCTCGGCCCTCCCCTGCATGGCCATCCCCCAGATCATTGACGAATTCGGCAGCGTCTCGCAAGAGCATAAAGTCCTTCTCATTTCCATCTTCCTCCTCGGCTACGTGTTTGGTCCCGTCATTTGGGCACCGCTCAGTGAGGAGTATGGCAGAAGATATCTTACCACCGCGACGTTCTTCGCCTATTGCCTCTTTACCATGGCATCCGCCTTGTCACCAACATGGTCTTCATTGCTAGGATTTCGTCTATGCTCTGGCGTGTTTGCCAGTGCACCTATAGCCGTGGTAGCTGGCATACTGGCAGACATATATGGCGATGCTCGTGTACGAGGCAAAGCGTACTCCGCCTTCCTAGTCGTACGGCGTTTCCCCTTCTCCAAGGAAAAAAACCCATCCTACAACTCATATCAGAAGCTAACACCATAACAGACAACAGTATTCGGCCCCATCTTCGGGCCAATAGTATCAGGGTTCGCGTCACCAACTATTGGCTGGCGCTGGACATTCTGGATCGCCCTTCTCTATGCAGGTCTCACATTCATCATGCTCATCTTCCTCCCGGAAACTCATCACCATATCCTCCTCGCCCGCCGCGCCAAGAAGCTCCGGCAGCAAAGCCAATCCGCCACCATCGTCGCCCCCCGCGACCTTGAGACAACCGACCTCCCCCAGCTCGTCAGCAGGGTACTCACCCGACCCCTCCGCATGCTCTTCTTCGAGCCCATCGTCGCCGCGACTTGCTCGTACCTCGCCCTTGCTTACGCTATCTTTTACATGTCCTTCCAGGCGTTCCCAATCATCTTCCTCCGCCGCTACGGTCTTTCCCCCGGCATCACGGGGCTCTGCTACCTGCCCATTGGAGCAGGCGCCTTCCTGAGCATGGTCTGCTTCTGGAGTTGGGACGCCTACGTCGCTCGCGCGTCTTCCCGCGGCGCAGTGTGGGCCACGACTGATGAATACCGTCGTGTGCCGCTCGCCACCGTCGGTGGTCCGCTGTTTGTTATATCTCTCTTCTGGCTGGGCTTCACCGCGAAGCCGAGTATATCTTTTGTGGTGCCCATGCTAGCGGGGCTACCCTTTGGGATGGGCTTCCAACTTATCTTTATGACCTTGTTAAATTATCTGACGGACGCGTACGAGGTGTATGCTGCTTCCGCTAATGCGGCGGCCTCCGCGACACGGTCCTGCCTAGCAGTTGTGTTGCCGCTAGCCACAAGAGCCATGTTCAATCAGCTCGGTATATCCGGTGCGTGTGCCGTCCTGGGAGGGCTGAGTGCTGCCATGAGCGTTATTCCATTCGTATTCCTGTGGAAGGGACAAGCCATTAGGAATAAATCGCCGTTTTGTATTGCATTGCGACAGATGAAGGAGGACTCGTTGCGTCAGGAGGAACAGAACCGGCTGGAGAAGGATAAAGAGGTCAACAGGGCTCATGATGTTTGATGAGAATGTCTAATGAATAACCTCGTGGGTCTCTGGGATGATGATGAGATATTGTCAAGGAATCATGCCGGTAACAGATTGTTCTAGGTATTGTTGGGATAGCTATGAAGCTTGCCAATACTGGCATTAAAAGTCTTGGAACTAATACGGAAAACGGGCTTAATAAGTGATTTATTACTCTAGCTAGTCAATGCGACAAGCAACTACAATGACCTTACATCTATGACTCGAGTATATCGATGATAATGAAGTTCGCTAGATATGATACAATTTCTGCCAGGCAAGTGACTCTGCATATTTATACCACACAGGAGCCTCATCTAAAACATTCTTTGATGAAATAACCGCTCGCAGCGTCCTTAGGCGATAGTAGATCAAATTATGTATGTATTTTTTGACGACCGATGTCTGGCGAGGGCGAGATTTCATCATCGTTGCCTGGCTACCCAAGGTTAACAACCTGGGTAATTGGGTAATTACACCCACCGCTCAATCAATCGGTTCGGTGCCCATGTTGTCGTGTTTTTGATTGCGCGAGCGGGTTCATAGCATGTATAGATTCTGTGTTGTCGTACGAGGTGCGGTTGATGAAATTATGCCACTTATTGCCGTTGACTACCCAGCCCCGGCCAGCTTCAGGTTTGGGACCATCAAATTTAACTGAGCTATTGCAGCTGCTGGAGCTCAGCTTTGAGATATGTGATAAAGAGTGTTGTAGCTTTTCTTTGAACGATTTTCGGCCCAGAGTTGGCGTCGGTCGGTTTACGAAATCTTCGTAAGCTTGGGCTGTAATGATGATGCTTTCGTCCAGCCCTGGCACCGATTCTTGCGAGTTAAGTTTCTTAGGGTATACCATATCATCCTTGATCTGCTGTGATTCAGATATAGGATTTATTCGAAGTTCTGAAGCATTGACCCCCCTTGGTAGTTGCGGGGATGGCTCCTCTTCTGCGGTTGCATAGGAACTTTGGCCTTCAGAGTGTCCCAGATCCTTCCAAGCCGGCAAATTTCCACACCCTTGCGCCGAGGTCAGCCAGAATCCGGCCAATGTTTGATCTTTAACATACAATGAACAGGTGAAAGCTCGAGATTATCCAAGTCTCTCTGGCTGAGCACGTATCCGTGTAATTCTGATCCTGACGGACTAGGATCAAAACTAGGCAGTTTAGATGGGTAATTCGAGGACCCATTGTTGGCTGGGTGACTGGACTTCTGAGATTTGGTGCTTAATTTTGCAGTAGTATCTGAGGTGGGTAGTTGATCTGTGTCTGATCTTTTCGAATTAACAGACGCGGGATGAATTGAACCCTCGTGTGTCTCTTCGGTGTGCGCCGGAAGGAGAGACTCTGCAGTATTGACTCGGTCAAGTATAGAGAACGATGACTCTAAGATGCTATCGACGCCACCCGGCCCCTCAATTGGCAAACAAATGTTGTCTTGTGCGGTATTTGCATCCCTGGGTGCGTGCTCAGGTTGAAACACAAAGTGGTCAGCTGGCTTCATGCCTTGGGCGATCAGCCATATACCCAGGGCAGATTGGTCGTCCCAGGCATGTGACCCATGCCGAATATTGAATTCATTGTCAGGCCCAATGATTCTGTCAAGACGAGGCGAACCGGGCTGGCAACTGGATGGTCGAGGGGATATTGATACCATAGAGACACATCTTCTCTCTGGTAGTGGGCCGCGAATAGGGCGAGACCGACAAAGCAGTTCATCGTTATTTGACTGTGTATCAACCGGAGAGCCACAATCGCGAGTGGCACATATTTCATCATGATCTGCGTCTTGTTGGCAATCTTCCTGCTTAGGCGGTGTATGCTGGTTGCAGGAAAGGTCTGACGACGTGGGACGAGACGCCAGCGCGCAATCATCAAATGTAAACTCAAGTGTATCCCTCGGACCGCTACACGGGCTCCCCATATCAATTAGCGTAGAGAGATATCTGGCGCTCTGATGTGACCCATTGCTCTGGCCGTCATTGCCGTCATCCTTGTTGAGCTCATCCTGAATTCGCTTTTGTCGCAGCCGCCTAACTTCGGCTCGTCTTGCTAACTCTTCGTCACTGTGTCCAATGGACACTCGAGAATGTCGTCTGGGCCCGCTATCCTGCGGCAAATGCTTAACTATTCTAGCCTTGACCCCTTCAAA